TTAGAGAAGAGAAAACAGGCTGATAATTTTGAAGTGATTCACCAAGTTCAGAATTAGGACTTAATGTCCATGTTCAAGGACTCTTAATCTAGTGTTCTATATCACTAACCTCGGACTAAGAAAAACACAGAGTAGGAGACCCAAAACACATTCTGGGAGTTGCAGATTAAGGACAAATTCTAGATATTCCTACTGTTTGACAGTAAAAGTTGCTGCTGGATTCTGGAGCCTAGCAAAGTGTTTGTCATAGAGGAGGAGTCAAATTCTCAGAAAATAAATAAAGTTATGAGAGACAACATAATATGAAGAACTGTGGATTTAGAGGCAAGATACCCAGATTTTTGTCCTAGCTCTGTCATTTACTGACTATATCGACTATAAAAAACTATTAAATACCAAAAGATGGGAAACCCAAGTGTCTATCTATAAGGGATGAGTTAAATAAATTATAATACATACATATGTAGACTATGTTATCTACTACTTTCACAGCAAATTATCGTAAAACTAAAATATACAAATTTATTGTTTTACAGTTTAGATGGTGAGAAGTCTGATGTAGGTCTCACTGGGCTAAAATCAAGCGGGTAGCAGGACCGCTTTTCCTTCTGGAGATTCTAAGGGCAAATTAACTTCCTTGCTTTCCCAGCTTCTAGAAGCTGCCAACATTCCTTACCTTGTCCACTGCTGCCTGCCAACCTTTTTTTACTTTTAAAGCTAACAATGGCCAGTCAAGTTCTTCTTACATTGCATTACTCCAGTTACCTCTTCTATTTTCAAATAGCCTTGTCATTACATTATCCAGGATGATTTTTTGTTGGTGGTGTTTTAGGGCCATCTTATTAGCACTCTTATTCCTCTTCGCCAGGTACAGTAACATATTAATATATTAGGTTTCAGGGTTTAAGACGTGGAATCTTTGTCTACCACATTTGTGAAAGAAGAGAAAGGAAGTTCTCTACATTGTGAGAGGGAAAATTCTCCAAGGTATTATTATTTTTATTTTTTATTTTGTGAAAAAAAATACACAGCAAAGAAAAGCATAAATAATATGATATGTAGAAAAGGAAGGAAATAAAAATATATGTTCACATTTAGTTGGTGTTACATAAGCAAACTCTGGAGAGATATGCAAAAATATTAAAGAGGCTAAAAACTGGAAATGATGGCAAGGAGGGTAGGAAGATTGGGAATGGGACAGAACAAGATTTTTCAACGTATCTTTTAAAATCATTACACTTTTTGAAACATGAAAACATGTTTCTTTAACTCGAATGATTCAAAATTGCCCCAAGATCCCATTATTGACTTGACTCTCAAAACCTTCTGTTTTGAAGAGCCTATCAACAGTTTTGTTATTTTTTCTTCTTTAAAACTCAAATTTTAACAGGCAAATCCTCATTTTTTTAGTGGCTTTATAACAAACAATTCTCTAACTTTATATTCTTGGGCTTCATGAAATTCTACATCTTTGCGATACTTTCAAAATTTTATTTTGAAATCCATTTGTATTGTACTGTGAGATCTTCTCAAAATCTAGCATTGCTGCAGTGAGAAGGCTAATGTTAGAGATGGAGCATGTCTTTAGGTGGGTATTCATTTTCAAGAGGCCTGTTAAGTATTGGGACATTTTAATTTTATATTCATACAGTTATGGAGGTAAGGCTTTAATTTTTCTATGTAAGTATAGAAATTTGGACAATAAGTGTGTAAAACTGCTAAATATACTTGGATGTATTTCAGTATTTATTATTCTGGCTGTTTTTGGAAAAGTTCTTTATTATGCCTTAAATCTACTAGTAATATCATGGCCTACTGCATTTAGTAGTTATATCCCCATCATAAATTAATCTTTTATTCATAAAATATTTTGTGGCACATATCATTAATTATTCCTAGTCAGGTTTAATAAGGTATATATAAATTCCTTTAAAGATATTCAGTTGTATAGTTTTTAAAAAGCAAAGTCAGGGCTGGGGTTGTGGCTCAGTGGTAGAACGCTCGCCTAGCATGGGCAAGGCCTTGGGTTCGATCCTCAGCACCACATAAAAATAAATAAATTATTTAAAGATATTATATCCAACTACAACTGAAAAATAAACATAAAAAAATAAAAATAAAAAACAAAGACAGTCATGTAACCACTATAGCACTGAAGGTATAAGATATGCTCATCACTCAAGAGTTCTCTCATGCCCTTTTGTGCACAATTGCCTAATCTTACCCTCAGCCTCAGTGAAACGCTGATCTGACTATTCCCATAGTTTTGTCTTTTGAGAAATTAAAGCAAGTTCAGCTGTACTGTGTGTAGTCTTTGTGTTCAACTTCTTTCATTTTGCATGTTGCCTTGAGTTTTGTCCATGTTGTAGCATGCATGAGTACTTTATTTCTTTTTATTTCTGAGTTGTATTCCATTGTATGGCTACATTGTTTGTTTCTCCATCAGCTGATGGATAGTTGGGTTGATTTCAATTTTGGATGGTCATGAATAAAGTTACTTTAAACATCACATATATAGGAATATTTGTTTTTATTTATCTTGGATAAATACCTAAATGCAGGATTGCTGGGTCACATGGGGAATGCATGCATAATTTCATAAAATTTCTTATAAATAATTGCCAAATTGTTTTACAAAGTGGCCACACCATTTTGTATTCTCATTATGTATGAGAGTTCTAGTTGCTCCTCATCCTAGCCTCTTGGTACCTTCAATTAATTTAATTTCCCACTTCTTTGTTTGTTTGTTAGTTTGTTTTAGTACCAGCAATTGAATCCAGAGGCTCTTAAACACTGAATCACGTCCCCAGCCCTTTTTTATTTTGAGACAGGGTCTCACTAAGTTGCTGAGGCTGCCTTTGAACATGTGATCCTCCTGCCTTAGCCTCTTCTGTCACCAGGCTTATAATTTTAATTCTTCTAATAGGTAAAATGATATTTGATTGTGGTTTTAATCTGCATTTCTGTAATAAATATAATATATGGTTGATCATGTCGAGAATTTTTATGTGCTTGTCTTTCATATTTCTTCTTTGTTAAATGATGGTTCAAATAATTTATTACTGAATTTATGTTACTTAAGTGTTTCATATATAAGTCCTCAGTAGTTTCATATACAAGTCCTTTTCTTATAGTCTATACTTGTTTTTTTTTCATTTTCTTAAGAGTGTAATAATGTCATCCAAAGAACAGAATTTTAAAATTTTGATGAAATCTAATATGTCAATATTTTTATAGTTTATATTTTTTGTTTCCTATCTAAGAAATTTTTGTCTAACAAAAGGTCAAATAGATGTTCTATCATTTCTTCTAGACATTCTAGTTTTAAATTTATATGATCCATTTGAATTAATTCTTATGTTTCATATGAGGTAGCAGTCAAGGTTCTTTTTTAAAAATTTGCATGTGCATATCTAGTTGTTCTAGCATTATTTCTGAAGTACTTCTGCAAGGTTATTGACAAGTGACCACATAGGCACATAAAGGTTTTCTGGATTCTGTCCTCCTCCATTGCTCAATGTGTCTAGTATTCTTTCTCCAATTTTATAGTCTCAATTACTATAGATTTTATAGTAAGTACTGAAATAAGGAAATGAAAGTTTTAAAAATTTGTACTTAAAAATGCTTGTGTTGTCCAGTGGTTTTCTTTTCTGTGTACATTTAAGAAATTGTGTAATTGTCTACCAAAAAAAAAGTCTTTGGTGATTTGATCAGGATACTGATGGGTCTATAGTTTGGGGAGAACCGACATCATCAGAATTGAGCCTTTAAATGAATTAAAACCATACTTTTCTCAGTTTATTTAGGTATATTATTATTATTATTATTATTATTATTATTTATTATTATTATTATTATTATTTTGGTACCTAGGATTGAACTCTGAGGCACTTTGCCACTGAGCCACATCCCCAGCCTTTTTTTATATTTTGTTTACAGACAGGGTCTTACTGAATTGCTTATGGTCTAAGTTGCTGAGGCTGGCTTTGAACTTGTGATCCTCCTGCCTCAGCCTCCTAAGACACTGGGATTATAGGCATGTGCCACCACACCCAACCCTATATTAAATTCTTGAAGATAAAATTTTATCAGGTACCAAAAAATTTCATAGAATTTTCATTGTATTAAATATAATTTTGTAAATCATGACAAACGTCTCCTTTTTCCTAAGGACAATCATTTTATTATGTTTATTATGTAAAATTATAAAAATATCATTTAATAGTATATGTGAAAAAAGATATCTATAATTTTAGTATTTCTGAAAAACATTAATCCTGTAGCATGCTCTTTGTAAAATGGCTTCTGGGGTTGAGTAACCCAGGAATTACCAGAAATGATATGCAGCCTTCAGATTCTGATTTATATTGGTAATTGGCTTTACCTAATAATTTGATATTAAAAATATTCTACTATTATTTGTTTTGCTTTCCTATTACTTTATTTACACATTTTAAAAATCTACTTTTATTAAAAAGATTGATTTTTGTCACTCCTCCTCTTTTAACAGGATGATTATGCTGGCCAGATGAGGCAAATTATGAAGCTTTCCCTGTATTTCCATGTTCTAGAAAAATCTGAATTGCATAGTAAATTATTCTCTAAGGTATTTAACAAGATTTTGCACACATATGAAATGTGACACTTCATATTGAAAGTAATAACAATGGTTTTCTTCAGCATTCATTTCTTTTTAATTTTTTCTATTTTTTGCTATTTGACTATTTTTGACAATATGATTGGTGAGATTAAATGTAAAAGGTATAAGTGAGGCTGATTACATAGAGAAATTCTTAATTTCTGATATCAACCATTTCTTCTATTTTCAAGTTTAAAACATTGAACTCAAATCCCTTAGAAATCTGGCACACGAAAATGAGTAGGCTAGCAATAGGAAGGGCTACTAGAGAATGTGCAAATATGAAGAGATGTACAAGATTAAGACCGATTAGACTTCCAGCTTGACAAAACACAAGGGACAATGAAAAGATGATACTCACATCTGAGTTAAAGCGAAGCTGACAGACATTACAAGAAATAACTTGTTTCTTCTTTGGGGGAATGGATACTCCAAATGTGTGATTAATGACTGCTTTTTGCACAGGATCCATCTGAAAAGGAAATGATAGAAATTAGTCAAATTTTATCTTCGAAGGATAGACAACAGTGTGCAAATAAAAGTATCTTTAGTATTCCTAAAGATTTTAATTCCCAGACAGAGATAATAAAGATTCTTACTAAATAGTAATGTTCTTAACTCCAAGAATTAAGAACAAAAACAAATGACAAAAAACCCACCTTTTTTGAAACTGCAACACAAGAAGAGACCATAAGAGAATCACCACATTCCAAGAAATCTAATACCTACAAAAGAACCTTGTACATCCTTAAAAGAATCGTAAAACAGAAACTTAAGATCCAAAAGTCAGAGTTAAAATTAAGTTGTTAATGTTTTCCCTGTAGAACTGGTAATACTCACAATGGTTTCAAGTGACCTCAGTAATGATTATTACGGACACATTCAAGTTCTTATTTTTAATTTATGATAAAATCATAAATAGCAGGCTCTTGTTACAGCACAGAAAATGTTAATCTTTATCTTAAAAAAATGTATTAACTTACTTATCCTATAGATTGAAATTCATTCCACTGGAAATGCATGTCACAATTGTACACTCAAATGTCTATAACACTGATTAATATGCAACCCGGTTTAAATATTAGTCAAGTAAAGTTTTGATTTAACGCCTGTGATTTTCCCCCTTTTGGCTTGCATATATCATACATATTCAGAGAAATATACAATGATGAAAGTACTTGGTCACAGCAAAAGAGTGGCACACAGCCATTACAACACTAAGAAGAAGAAACACCTCTATCTGCAGAATTTATAAAAAGAGACCTAGCAGTGATTCTCTTGGGTATTCCAGATAATAATCTCCAGCATTAACATCAGACAACTGGCAGTTCAAAAAACAATGTGCCGGATGAACAAAGCATTACTCATAAACAGATGTAACATGAACAAGGAAGGATCAACTGACTCCATCATCTAGGAAATCTCCTGAGGTTAGAGTTTAGAATTGGATTAGCTGATGATATTTGATAAGAAAGGAGAAATGAATTCTATCCCTGATCATGATTATAAATGATCAAAGTATAAAATTAGCATCTAGAAAAATTTAAATACAATGGAAAAGAAGGTGAATTGAGGGGTTACTGAAGAGTATATTACCCTATCTTTGGCTACAAGCTTAAGAAAAATGACAAGATAATGTATGCTCACTATAGAGAACAGATATAGTGGTAGTTTTCTCAAGTTATAGAATTGTTTTAATATCCTAACTGTAGTTATGGTTACATAATCTAAACATATCAAAGTTCATAAAACTATTCACATACCCTCCTCGCCAAATCAATATGTATGATAACTTAGAAAGTTAAAAAAAAATGTGAAGAGTATTATGTTTAACTACCCAATACAAAATATATCCAGAAAAATCCAAGGATTCACTTTGTTCAAGGTTATAACTGATTAATTTTTTTATTTATGCTGGGGATCAAACCAAGACCACCCATGTTGAGCAAGCACTCTACCACTGAGCTACAGCCCCAGTCTTCACATTTTATTTAATGAAAATAATAATAATAAAACTCTATGGGGTAAAGAAAATCTCAAAAAGTCAGAAATAAAACCTTAGTTTACTTTCTTTCTTTGTTCACTAGTTCATACATTCAAGACCATTCCATTCCCAAAACATAAAACTGTATTTTCTGAGCACAATTAAATAGTAGAGATGGCAAGTCAGTTTGAAGAAGCTTAAAAATAAAATAGGCTAAACTTGACAGAATTTTTTAAAAATCCCGAAGTTTTGCAGTTAAAAGTCAAAATATTTTATTAAGATATTTTCTGTTCCTAGGTTCTAAAAAATACTTCCCATCTGGTGATTTGTGAAATATATGGGAAAAAAGCATATGAGTATTTCCCAAATACCAATTTTCTCCATACTGCTTTCATTATTTTTGTCACATTCAATACTAATATTTTATTTAAAACTCAAATTAAAATATATTTGAAAAAATATAAACAAGAATATTCATAAAATCATAGTTGTAATTCTTTCCTACTACTCATTTCAAAAATATATTGAAAGTTAACATTTACAATCAAAACTTTCACTACTTAAAATAAATACACATATGCTAGTTGTTTTCATTAACACAATAAAGAAAAAGAGATAAAAAACAAATCTACAAAAATCTAGCTTTAATCTTTTAGTAAACCAAGATAACTATTGAGGGCTTCAATCCTTGAATATATATGTTCCTTTACATTTTTTCAGATTGTTAGCTTCCTACATATATTTTTAAGTAACTTCTAACAAAACTTTATTCTGCCCAAATCCCATATTGGCACCACGGGAATCTGAAAATACCCCTTCCTGTTCCCAAGGTTGAGTGTTCTGGGTCCTGAAAGATGAGCTGAGGCTGAGCACTGCACATACAAGAGCAATCAAGTTCCCAGCCATCTATTTCCTGCAAAGCAAACTAAGGGCTTTCTTTCAAGATACTAGCCAGAATTGATTGGCTTTACTTATGTATATATACATAATCCTAATTTTTTTTCACAAAATCAACTAAACACAGCCCTTTTATCCCTTCCTACTTACCTGTCAATAACTTGCTGTCTTCCCATCTTTCGAATGACTTGTCACTAATCACATCAAAAGATTATCCCCTTAAATAATATTCACTATTTCCCACTTGATTTTCTACTTATAGGAATAATTATTATAGTGGGTATTTTTCCAAAATTCCTTATAGGAATTTTGGAAAAATACCCACTTTCTCCTCATCTAAATCTCTTTTATAATTCTCATAGAATTCGGAAATTATAATTTTTGTTGAAATATTTTTGGGGACATGATTAAATTAAGAGATGTTAAATGTTACAAAAAAGAAGGTTCCACTTTGCAATTTGAAACGTAAACAGACCCTGTCACGTTGATGTTTTCAATATTGGTCATCTGATGCAATAACAACAAATATCTGGGGAATTTCAGTAGGATCTATAAAAGGTTTTCAGATTCTTTAAAAAGAAAGTTGTAAAATTCTAAATATTTGTTTTCAGTGTTTCCACAATGTTGTAAAAGTTAAATGAAAATATCAACTATGGTATTCATTTATATTTAATTTTTCCGTTAGTGTGATTGATGTTAGTTCTTTGTAAACATAATTATATATAAATAAAAAAATATATTTTATATCTACATATGTATATGTAGATATAAATATATAAATCAATGGTAATTGTTTTATTCAAGTACCAAATTTCAGAATGAATAAAGCATTCAGGATGAATAAAAAAGTATTCTCATAATTCTTAAAATGTTGTAAATTCAAATTAGCCAATTTAACAGAGCCAAACTATGTGTCCAAAACATGATGATTTCATATGTATTCAGGTAAATCACTGGAGGAATTGCAATTACCTGACAAACTCGTATTTTATAGATTCAACTGGCATTTCATAGACTTTTTAAATTTATTTTTTATATTTTTAATTTTTTGTAGTTATGTATGGACAGAATGCTTTTATTTTATTTGTTTATTTTTTATGTGATGTTAAGGATCAAATCCAATGTGTCACACATTGTCAAGTGCTCTGCTACTGAGCTCCAGCCCTTCACAGACATTTAATTGTGAAAAATGACTGCTTTCAACACTCTTCATTAAAATATTTAAAATATATGTTTTAAATGAACAAGTGCTTGTTAAATAGTCACATTAAATTAGCTTGTTAGTTCACACTGCACAAAAAACTTGTCTACGGATTGAGAGAATTATGATTTATTAGGAAATAAAACTAAAGCTTTTCAAAGGAAAAACAAAAACAAAAACCTATCACAAAGTTCTAGCTACCAATAATCCTTACCTGGCAGAATTTATTGGTCCCAAATAAGCCTCTTCTTTTCTAAAAAAGTAAAAGTTAGAAGTAATCAACTAAAATTTTGAGGCCAGGAAGCACATTTACATGTTTTAAAGTTTAAAAAACTTACTTTTATTGCTCACCCCTGACTAAAATGCTTGCAGTGCTTACTAACTAAAAAGTAGTAAGAGTTAACACTTGTCAGATTTTCTAATGAAAATCATGCAGAAAAGAAAAGTAAAACCTATTAGTGCAATTAACTGGTAGGTAATAAAAATGAAAGATGGGGTTGTGGCTGTTACTAGGAATCGAGGAGGTAATTGGAGACTACATATGGGTGAAATAACTATTATATCATAGTCATACAAAATGAATTAATCAAGCTGGCTGTATCACACCATCTATTATATTTTCAACATCAAAATAAGAATAAACATCTCTAGTACATTTACCAAGATTAGGGGGCCTACAAATCTGCATGAATTTTTTAAAAGATCAGTACTTTCTCTGAGTGTAATGAAAAGTAATTTACATTTGCACAGTGTAAGCAATCACATAAAAATATGCAGCTGCAAATAAGCTATAGACACAGGAAAAAGAAACACTGCAGCACTTCACTAAAGGTAGGATGAATCTAAGAAAGAGACTCTGTGATCAAATGACTGGACAAACATAAATTATATTTTAGGCTCTCAATGATTTTTCTCCATGGAACTTTAGTAGAATTATAAACTTATTCAACCTTTCCAATGCTTTTTAAGAGGCTAGAAATTTGCATTGTTTCTTCTGAAAGAATTTTTAAACGATTTAACTAGCTAACAAGTAAGGCTGGAATGGAAATAAACTGGGCACCACACCACCTAAAAAGCAATAACATTCAAGAATTGTATAGAACTTTCTTTAATCCATACAGTTCCTTACACATGGAGAAATATCACCTTAAACTTAACCATCTGCTTTAACCAATGCTTTAAAAATCATTTGGTAAGCACCTAATGGGGTCCATTAGCTTTTCTACTAAGCAGAAGTAGAAAACTGGGTTTTTTATTTCTGAAAGTTAAAATCAGTCATTCAACAAATATTTCTGGAGGCCTATTGTATCTCAGACATTGCCCTAGACTAATGGGGAAATGAGACAAACATAAGAAAGGACATAATTTTAAAAGATAAAGTGTAAAAATG